TCTTTTGTTCCAGGGCAGCCAAATATGGATACTTGTTTTCCACAAGTGGCTGGCATCTCAGTCTGTCCAGGTATTCTCCCTGTCTTAGCTTTCAAACCCCCCTAATCATGGGAGCACCATGTAATGTAGGTTTCTGCTCCCAGAGCAGATCTCCAGAGATAGGCATTCAGCAGTCCCAGGCCTCCACTCCTTCCCACTCCATTTCTCTTCCTCCACCAGTGAGCTGGGGTGGGGGAAGGGCTTGGGTCCCACCGGGTCATGGCTTTGGTATGTTACCCTGTTCCGTGAGGTTTATTCTTTTCTCCAGGTGTGTGCAGTCTGGCACAGCCCTCTTTCTTGTTACTGTTTCAGGATTAGTTGTATTAATTATATTTTCATTTTAGGAGGAGGCCTCTGTCTCACCACTCATGCTGCCATCTTTCATCTCCCAACTACCTGGTTAATCTTTTATTGTTTCTATTCTTTATTTTATTTACTTCTGCTCTAATTTTTTATTATTTCCTTTTTTTCTGCTAAGTTTGGGCTCAGTTTGTTCTTATTTTTGTAGTTCTTAATGGCATAAAGTTAGGTTGTCTACTTAGGAACTTTCTTTCCTGCTTCTTTAATGCAGGCATTTATTGCTATGAATTCCTTCTTAGTACTGCTACTTTTGCTACATTTCATAAGTTTTGGTATGTTGTGTTTCCATTTTCATTTGTTTCAAGAAACTTCTATTCCCCCTTTAATTTATTCTTTGATCTATTGGTTGTTCAGGGAACTGTTTTTTAATTTTTATGCTTTCATAAGTTTTTTCCAGTTTTCTTCTTTTTGCTTTCTAGTTTCATGCCATTGTAGTCAGAGAAGATACTTGGTATGATTTCAGTTTCCTTCAATATGCTAAGACTTGTTTTATGGCTTAATATATGGTCTATCCTAGGAAATGTTCCATGTGCACTTGAGAAGAATGATAAAATGTTCTGTATATTTGGTATAGAATATTGTTCAAATTTGCTGTTTCATTATTGATTTTCTGTCTGGATGATCTATCCATTATTAGATGGGGTAATAACGTCCTCAACCATTATTATACTACTGTGTATTTCTCCTTTTATAGTTTTGGCTTTATATATCTAGGCACTGTGACATTGGTTGCATAAATATTTACACTTGCTATATCTTCTTGATGGAGTCACCCTTTTATTGTTATGTAATGATGTTATCATTTTTATTTTAAAATCTGTTTTGTCTAATGTAAGTATAGCTACCCCTGCTTTGGTTAC